GAGGCTTCGTCGTTCTCTGATCTGTGTGAAGTTCTCCAAGCAGCAAAATGTTGTCTGGTGATCAACGGAAAGTGTGAGGAACAGTTCGGAGAAGTACCGGGTGCTGCAAAGGGCGAGGGATTCATTGTGCACGTGAAGTTAGCAAAAACGTCCAGGTGTCCACGATGCAGAAAATATTGTGCTGAGGAAGTTGGGCTCCTCTGCAGTCGGTGTTCATCCATTGTATCTAAGATCGGAGGTAGTGTTCGAGAAAAACATTCTGGCTATTAGTTTTAGGTTGTTTCGAGTTGTTGAAATAGAATAATTTCGGTGAAGCGATTGCAGGTGATTATTTATTTCTTCTTCCTGATAAAACGGGAGGACATTTTTTGAATTGATAGTGTGATTTATTTACGAGATGAATCTATCATGAATCGCGCATTGATTGTGTTCAGTGCGAAGTCATGCGATTATTTCATTGAATGGATTTTCTTCAATTTTTGTTAGACTAAAATGTATATACAATACTGTACATATTCATACAGTACGTATGAATAGAATCTTGGTGACAAGTAGAAATAATCTTGGAGCTAGAATTTATAACTATTCATCAATTGTTATACAATGTCCAGTGCTTCATCCTTTGTTAATCTACAAAGAGAATTATATATCGAGAACCCCCAAAATATCTGGAAGGCCCCAATTGTGTGAAACAAAAATCGCCGCCTTCAGCATAGCTGTGAGCGAGTTCAGAAGTTGAAAATGGTGATAGAACTTATTGACGGAGTCGCAGTATACTGTATTTATGACAACTGAAAATTTTGATTTGACATATTATAATCATCAAAGTTATTAAGTCAGCCTTCATCTGATGATGCGACGTTTTTATGCGCTATCATTGGAAGTAACAGTAATGTATATGCACTGCGTGAAGAAGGAACTTTGCTTATGCATATACTGTACAGTCAACCCTCGTTTAACGTTTTTAGTTGGTGCAGCGGGAAAAAACGATAAGCGAGGTAGTCTCTCCCTTAAGATATAAGGGAGAAATGTTTAATTGGTGTCAGGCAAAATTTTCTAAAGGTAAAATTCAGAAAAAAATTAATCAAAGAGTGTATTCCAACAACTGTGCTTTATGCACTGCCATTACATTCAAAAAGTAACCACAGTTCTTCACTCAATTAAAATCAGAGATTCATTTTAATTGCACAAAAAATCACTGATCAGAGTCACTTGAGTCATATGCCCTCTTGCAGGGCTGAGCTTTGTAACCTGATGGCCCAGCTTTGTCAGGAGAGAAGAAGCTTTTGATGGATGTTTGCTTCTCCCTACTTTTGAGAAGGGCAGTTAAATGCCTTCCACAAACAGAGTCCAGAACATCCAAAGCTTGTTGGACTTGAATGTTGTTCAGATGTTGTTCTTTGAAGATGGTTTGAACTGCCTTCCACTGGATGAGAGTCTCCTTGATGACAGTTGACTTGAGGGCCAATTTTTTATCATCAGCAGAAGGCAATCTGAAAAATTCAGAAATAATGAGAGAGTGTAAAACAATTCATTGCATGAAGAACAATTTAAAAACACTGAAAAGGCCTCCTTAGTTTTGTTGTGGTGCCCTCAACTCATTGATATTTCTTTGAACCTCAGCTTTTTCAGCTGCCATTTCCCTCAGCTCATCCACTCCCAAGTCTTGAGTGTCTTCCATGACAGGTTCATTGAGATCTTCTGCAAGAACAGTCATTTGTAAGTTGTTGGCACTGGCAATTATTTCTTCCATGATTTCCTTGTCCTCTTCATCAGGAGGTGCTTTTTGGAATGTTTGACAGAACTTTCTGGCCTCCTCATGATCAGCACTTCCTCCTTCTCCTGCCAGCTGTACATTCTTCAGTCCAGTCCTTTTCTGAAACCTATTGAACCAGCCATTGCTAGCTGGAAGAAATCCAAATAAATTCTTTTTACTTCCTGAAACACTTCATAACTTTGGGTATTCTAACCTTTGAATCCTTCGTTGTCTTCTTCCTCTTCATCATCAACAGACTCCCCTTCAGGGTGCTCTTGCACAAGGTCTTCAAAGATCTTCCTGGCCTTTCTGCAGATGTGCTCACCAGACATGGGTTCACCTTGCATCTGCATGTCCTCAATCCAAATGAGGAGAAGCTTCTCAAGTTCATCCAGAAGTGGGTGCCTTTGTTTCTTGTTGTAGATCCTTTTTGAACCCTTTGCAGAAGTCTCACATGCTGTTATAGCAGCTTGTCCCTGGTTTGCCACATTGTGCCTATGGTGCTCTTGGCTATGCCAAATTCACTGGCCAAGTCAACCTGCCTTTCACCATTCTGCAGTCTCTCAATAATGCTTTTCTTATCTTCAAGAGTGAAGGTTTTTCTCTTTTTGGCAGCACTTGATTTTGGCATGTTCACTTCAATTCACTTTTTTGAAAAACTGAAACCTATAGAAGACAAAAAAACAAAGAAAGGTCTAAGTTGTTACCCAAAATTCAGTGTCTGACACTGCAATTGTTCATAAAATAATTGTAATACCACACCATCACACAGGAAACACATTTAAAGCTGTGGAAAAAGTCACATTCAAGAAAATGTACAGGAGGGAGGGAGATAGGCGTCCACATTGATCACGCGGTGCTGCACAACTGCAGAACGTTGTGCAGATTTCTGAATGTTAAGCAAGGGGATTTTTCTCATACGACTGGGAATGTTATGCAAAAAAAATGTTCAGCAAACGGAATGTTAAGCAAGGGTTGACTGTACTGCTATATTCTGTAAATGGATTGCATTTGCAGCAGGCGGGAAATAAAAGTTCAGAATCTTTGGAATTTATTTGAGATCTTCAGCAGATTAATCATAACTGATGAACTGTACAGGGTGCTAGTTCCCTTCAAAAATTTATTTTCCAAGCATATAATTGATTTGCTGTACTGTATATTGTAAGCATTTTTGGATCTACACATTTGGGAAAGAACTACGTCAACCCTTTGTTAACGTTCCGTTTGCTGAACGTTTTTTTGCATAATATTCCTGGTTGTATGAGAAATATCCCCTCACTTAATGTTTCAAAATCCACACAACGTTCCGCAGTTGTGCGGAATTGTTGTTCACTTTTTGAAAATTTCTCTGCAATGTGCGTATCCATACATTTCTCTGTTTCTCCTTTTTGTTGTTCACATTTGATAATTATGTCCATGTTGAAAATTGAGGTTTTTAAGAGAAAAAATGAATCAGTACTGCAAAAAATAGCACTTGTAGTGTTGTTGACTCTCTGTTGTAGTTTATGGGCTTCTAAAATTTACAACCCATAAATGAAAATGAACCGATTTTCTCCAAATTTTGAACAGGAAGTAAGCCAAAGCACAAGTTCATCCACATTTACATAGAACCACATGGTAAGTCATTCCATTATTGGTCAAAATTTGAGGCATTGAGTTTGAATTTCCCTTTATCCAAATGATTTCTGATGGAGACTCCAAATCTTCAGAACTGTATGAGAGAAACTACAGGAAAAAATGCTTTTGCTTGAATGTATGAACAGAACACTTTATTTGCTGCTTTTCACTGTCCAGCACAAGGTTCAATCAAGATTTCCACAACCAAACCCCCTTCCCACCCAACCCAAATCCACTCAATGTCCACAACCAAACCCCCTTCCCCCCCAACCCAAATCCACTCAATGACATTTAATCACTTCAGAGCAGGAAACAGAGCACGAATTGCTGATAACAGAAATAAAAGGAAACACAATCCATGAAATAAAACTGGACATCTGACATGTATGCATATACACTCTTTGATTAATTTTTTTCTGAATTTTACCTTTAGAAAATTTTGCCTGACACCAATTAAACCTTTCTCCCTTATATCTTAAGGGAGAGACTACCTTGCTTAACGTTTTTTCCCGCTGCACTACCAACTAAAAACGTTAAGCGAGGGTTGACTGTACTCAAATGCATTCAAATCCCATGGGACCATGAATGCGTTCCTATATATTGTGCTTGGTCAGCTCTATTCTCATAGAAGTCATCCTTAATATTTCACTCATCAAATCTCAAATAATGCATGGAAGTAAGAACTGTAAGACAACTGCTGCTGCTCCGTTTGAACCATGCGAGCAGCTTTTAGTCCGTCGTATTAACATAGAGATGTTGGTTCGATACGTATACACAACATGTTTTGCTTGGATTGGATGCTGAGTTACGAGGGTTAACGAGGTGAATGGACGTTATTTAATTAGATCCCTATCATTGGGAAGTGTTTCTCGCTGGGAAGCACTATGAAACGCATTGCAAAGTTCAAAGCTGAAGAAGGGATTGAATTTTTGGATGCAGCAGTTCCAGCGCGCAACGTTAAGACAAGGTAAGCTCGGTTGCAGCGCGTCCTGAAAGATGTAGTATAGGTGTCGCTCTTATCACAAACAGAATGGAGCTAAGGTGAATGTTCAGTCTCCTCTCATTAAGTTCAGCTAGGATTGTATAAAGTGAAGTTATGTTACTGTAAGTTAGATTAGATGTCCTGAAATATTTTTCGTGTGACAAACGTAGCGCCGTTCACTCGCACAGAGAGTTCTGGATACCCTTCGAATTCTGTGGCAACGACACCTAATTTTCGGTCTTGTTATTAGCCGCACATCGACCTACAGGTAGCATGGGTCCGGGCGGGATTTCACCAACAAACGCACGCGGGAACAGCTTTGAACAAGTTAATATTGTCACCCAACGATGAATGAAATACAGTAGTGGATCTACATAAAGAGTCAAGACTGCGCAGTCGTAATCGGTTTCCTCCCATTCTTAGTGTGTCTTGTTTAAAATTGGTCCCTGGATTGTCGCGTCTTCTTTTACATTGCTCGTGTTATTCCACTGCTGTGCATTACTTTTCTTGAATTCTTGGTTGTTGAAGCCCGTTGATCTCGGGATGTGTGTCACGTTTGTGTCTGGTTCTACACTGCGGTCAATAGTGCATAATGCTGGTGTATCCAATGCTCGTTCCTTTCATGATCTTCAAAATTTTTGTCCCGTAGAAACGTGAGTGTTTCACATGAAGGTGAAAATCCTCAACGCCGGAGGTCCCGGGGCTTCGGCCCGGACCTTGAGGTCTCGTGGTGGTAAGAGAATCCGTATGGATGAACCCCCACCACCCGAATATGATGCCAGTCCTCCACCAATGACCCCTATGACACCATATGATTCCGGAACTGGTGAGGTTGATACTGCGTACACTCCCTACTATCAGCATGCTCCTGCGACGCCGATGGAAACGTAAGTCTGCATTTTCAAAATTGAAAAGCACGGTCGAAAAATTTTCTCGAATTTTCAGGGAATCTTATTTGGAATCAGATGCCGGCAATTATGATGATGACGCAGAAGGAGAAAGCCCGAGGGCCATGGAAGCCCCGGCGCCCGTTCGAAGAGGGCGCGGGCGTGGCAGAGGTTTTTTTTTAAAATTCAATTTTCGTTTTTTATAATTCTCAATCTTCAAATTCTAGGAAGAGGCCGAGGTGCTGCAAGAGGCTCAGCCGCTACTCAGCGAGGAAGACGTGTGCGGGGCGGAAGGCGTTCCATTGGCGAACGGATTGAAGAAGAATCTCTGTACAACCTCGTTAAAGCTGGGAAGTCGGCGCTTCAAGTGATTGTCGATGACTGGATTGAGTTCTATAAAATGAACAGGGACACTGCCTTGCTTCAGTTGCTTCAATTCTTCATATCCGCTTCGGGTTGCAAGGGAAAGATCACCCCTCAAATGCAAACATCCATGGAGCACGCCGCGATCATTCGTCGTATGACGGAAGAATTCGACGAAGAGAGTGGGGAATATCCGCTCATCCAAAGTGGTCTAGTGTGGAAGAAGTTTCGGAGCAGTTTTTGTGACTTCGTCGGAATGCTCGTGAAACAGTGCCAGTATTCCATTATTTATGATCAGTATCTGATGGACAACCTCATTGCACTTCTTACGGGACTCTCAGATTCTCAAGTTCGTGCATTTCGTCACACGGCCACATTGGCAGGTGAGAGTTTTTACTATTTGTTGTGTTTTCGGTCCCATGGATGACTGAAATCCTGGTCACAGTGCAAAAACTGTGGTAATTATCCGCGAATTTTCTTCTGAATATAAATTTGCACGATTTGTGACTGAATGAAATTAGCCCCACGCGATTAAACTAGTGAACTACAATATATTTCTGTGAGATTAAATTTTCGTCTTGCGTTGAAAATTTTTATATTTTTATTACAAAAGTAATTTGAAACTGGATTAAAACTAGCATTTCACAAATGAGAAATGCTCCGTGTGTGAAGAGTAGTATTCATTATTGCTGGTTGTACTTTCTAAGCTTGCTTCGAGTGCTGGGGCAATATTCACGTTTAAACTTTGTGTGTTTAATTTCTAGATTTTCTTTGAGGTTCTTCTTGTAACTCTCGGTTGGGTGGTTAATCATAGTAGTCTATGCAAATCAATTATTGATTAGTGTGTCTCGAATCACCCCCAAAGTTCTGCTTTGTTTAGAAAAAGGAGGAACTTTGAGAATAAATGCATTTTTTATAGCGTAGATGAATGGGTTATTGGTTGCACTTCATATAGGATATTAAAAATTTTGTTAAGTATAATTTTACATGCCTATTCTTCCCTCTGAGTGATTTTTCGTTGAAATCTTCGTGATTATTCATCGCATAAAAATGCTTGCCCGGTGCTTCGTGTACGAAGATTAATCAAACTGCCCCTGTTTTACATTTCCCTCGAAATAGCCGTGAAATTGATGACTGCCTTAGTCGATGTGGCGTTGACGGTCTCAGTGAACTTGGATAACACACAGCGGCAATATAATGCAGAGAGAAATAAAATAGGAGACAAGAGGGTCAGCGATCGTCTGGAAAACTTGCTTTCTAAGCGTACCGAGTTGGAAGAAAATATGGAAGAAATCAGAAATATGTTGACGTACATGTTCAAGTCGGTGTTCGTTCATCGATATCGGTAAGTTAACCTGTCTTTTTTACGTTTTGCCATGCAGTGAAGAGTTAATGTGTTGGAACTGATTTTTAGGGACACTTTACCGGAAATCCGGTCAATGTGTATGAGTGAAATCGGGATTTGGATGAAAAAATTCCACCAGAACTTCCTGGATGATTCCTACCTCAAATACATTGGATGGACGCTTCACGACAAAGTTGGAGAGGTGCGTCTTCGTTGCTTGCAAGCATTACAACCACTTTACGCCTCAGAAGAGCTGAAAGGAAAGCTGGAATTGTTCACGTCGAAGTTCAAGGACCGAATCGTGGCGATGACCCTTGATAAGGACTATGACGTCGCTGTACAAGCTGTCAAGCTTGTTGTGTCTATTCTCAAGCATCACCGGGATATTCTAACGGACAAAGATTGTGAACACGTTTACGAGTTGGTTTATTCATCTCATCGCGCTGTCGCATGTGCAGCGGGAGAATTCTTGAATGAAAGACTCTTCGTTCTCGATGAAGAATCATCTGTGCCAATGAAAACCAAGCGAGGGAAGAAACGGACTCCGAACACCCCACTGATTCGGGATCTGGTACAATTTTTCATCGAGTCTGAGGTACGTTTTTTGTCTCTTTTAAATCCCTGCAAAAAATCGTGTTTGAGCGAATAGGAAACTTTTTTCCTAGGCTTTCTTTCTCGCCAAAATCTGATTATTTTCTTTGAAAAACTTGCGCTGGGTTGCTTCAAACTGTATCAATTGGAATATTGTGACTGAGATCACGCGAACTAAGTTTTTTTTTCGATCAACATTTTTAAAGAAACATCCCACGTATTAAACTCGGAAAACATACTGCCAATTATCCATTGATAATTTGCGGAAAAGCATCTGGCGAATTTTTTTTTTTCCTTTCTTTGTGGTTACTGTAAAGTACAGTATTTTAAAGTTATATTCTGGTTATGATATTGTTTGTTCATCCGTAAGCAAACTCGTGTGTGTTATTGTGATTTTCATCATTGTAATCCGTTCTGTTGGAGAAGTCATCTTTGAAGTTTCCTGGGTCCGTCAAATTTGCTTGAGGTTCTTACTTCGGAAGCCTACAAATTGGACTGGAATCTTGGACTCGATTTCTTTTTTTTTATGTGTACCTATAGAAATGTATGCCATTTTTAGAAAGCTTCATGCTCTGGTATGCAATTACAGAAATTAATCGCTGATTTTTTATGCTGTTAATTTGTCAGTGTGTTGACCGCTGAAAGAACTTGGAGGTTGAAGTAACTAAATACACGAAGAAAATAAACAAAACTTACTTCGTCTGCTTTTGCAGCTGCATGAACACGGTGCGTACTTGGTGGACTCCCTCATCGACAGCAACGAAATGATGAAAGACTGGGAATCCATGACTGATCTTCTGCTTGAAGAACCAGGCCCCGGAGAAGAACCACTTGACGATCGACAGGAATCGAGTTTGATTGAAATCATGATGTGCGCCGTGAAACAAGCAGCTCTAGGAGAACCTCCCATTGGACGGGGACCGAACCGCAAAAATGCGAGTGCGAAAGAGGTTAAGCAGATTTCTGATGACAAAGCAAAGCTCACGGAACATTTCATGCTAACGCTGCCGAGTCTTCTGGGCAAATTTCTTGCCGATCCAGAAAAAATCGGCAGTCTGATGGTTATTCCGCAGTTTTTTGATTTGGAGTTGTATACGAACCGTCGACAAGAAAAGGTACGATTTTTATTCTTTATCCATAGAATTGATCTTGAATTCAATTATATTTTTACTGCAGAATTTGGAAGCTTTGCTGCATCAAATGATCACAATTGTTGACAAGCACACTGATTTGGAGGTTTTGGACACGTGTGCGAAAACATTGGAAGTGTTGTGCGATGAGGAATACGCTATTTCCAGCAAAGCTATGATTTCCAGAGGGGTTTTGTTGGACAATGTTGTAACAAAATTCAAGGAGGCGTTGGACGAGTTTAATTCTTTCGTTGCCGGAGTGAGTAATTTTCGCCAGAATCACGTTTTTTGTTGATGGATTGCACAATCTGGTCGTTTTTTTTTTTTTTTCTCAGGGCGAAGAGCCGGATGAAGACGAAATCTTTGCATTGGTCTCATCGTCGAAAAAAGTTTCTGTGTTCTATTCTTGTCATAACCTGGGCCACCTTCAAGTCTGGGATTTATTGTTTCAGCAGATGAAAGATGCCAAAGATGGTTGCAGCGCGTTGCCAACAGAGGCGAGTTTGAAGCTTATTTTCCATGTTTGTTTTTTGCATTAGTTAACATGTGATATATTCGATAGGCCGTGAAGTATTGTATATCCAGCTGCCAGTTCGCACACATGTGGGACCTGATCTCAATAGAAAACATGCTCCAGGGTTCTGGACTGAATGCCCACGTTCAAACGGAAATCGAAGGCCTGAAAGCTCGATTACGTGCATATATTGAAACAGCTCTTGCGTTGATTCAATCTGCCTCGCACCCAGAATACAAAGCAGAAGCATTTCTGTGCGTCTGTGATCTACTTATCATTTTTGGTGATCAACTTGGGAGGAATACTCAGGAATTATGCGCGCTTGTGTACAATCCTGACAAGCACCTCCAGACCCTTTTGAATGATTTCATCCAGTCGTATGTGTTTGTGGAGTATCAAGAAAGTGAGTGGATTGAGAGTTCTTTTTTTTTATGTTGGTAATCATGCTTAAAAATTGATCTACAGCTGAGGAACAGGATGAACATTTGAAGATTGAAGAGTTGCACAAGAGACGAAACTACTTAGCTTCATTTTGTAAGCTTATTGTTTACTCGATTCTTCCTACTCGTGCTGCTGCCGATGTCTTCAAGCATTACGTCAGGGTGAGGATAACCTCTGTTTCCTAATATGTTCTGCTTCGCATTGTTAGATTATCAGTTGATTCTTTGAAAAACTTTTTGTTGCTGTTATTTTTGCAATTTTAAAATATTTTATCCAGTTTTACAATGATTACGGGGACATCATCAAAGCGACGATCGGAAAAGCAAGGGAAACAAACAAGGTTAACTGTGCTCGAACTATGGCTCTTGCGTTAATCATGGCATTCAAGGAATTGCAGCAGGAAGGGATCAACAATCGATTTTCAGACGAATTCATCGCCCTGAAGGTGTGAGCAATTTTCGGAAATTCCTGTTGAAAATAATAACAACAATTATTTCCATCAGGAATTGTCGAAACGGTTTGCATTGAGCTTCGGTTTGGATGCCGTGAAGAACAGAGAAGCTATCACTGCGGCCCATAGAGAAGGGATCCTTTTTGCAGTCAACCCGGGTGACGGCGGAATTTCTGACCCCACCCAGCCGCCTCCGAATATCGCATTCCTTGACGTGCTGACTGAGTTCACGAACAAGTTATTGAAGCAAGATAAGCGCGTTGTGTGAGTACCCACCAATTTTAAATGAAAGGTTTTCAAGCGTAGGTTTTTTGTCAAGAAGTGGAAGACCAATTGATCAAAGAAACCCTTACCGCAAACTTTAGCATCATGTCAACTTATTTTATAAACAAATTTAAGACCCAGAATATCAATTCTGATTTCCAGTGATTCTTCTTTCTCTTCCCGAGCGAAAATGCTTCTTGAATCTTGCCCTAAAGATTTTTTGCTGGTCACTTCGAGTTTGACTTGAAGAGGTTTGACTATCTCAATTTGATGCGCGTGGATGGTATCTTTAAGTGGATCCGTTTGTCAGCAAGTACGATTTTATCTATGTGATTACCAATATATTTTTGGCTTGTTGCTCCACGTATCGAATCCGAAAAGATAATCTCAGTGGCTCTTTCTGTTATATTCTATTGATCCAGTTAAAAGTACAGTAATTACGTAATTTAGTAGAAAATTGAAAATTCATCACTTGAAACGCTGCCCTAAGTTTCCATCTTGAGTCTAACATGATTTCAGAAACTCCTTAGAATAACTTGAAAATAGTTTAATTCTTCGTAAAATATGATCAAAGGTCACTTTCCCGTTTTTGCTCGTTCTTTGTGAAGTAAAAAAATGTCGTGTCGTTTCTAAGGTCTTCTCAAGCTCTTCATTGTGTATCCTCTTTATAGACTGGCGTACCTGGATAAGAGAATCAGTTCTGCCGTACCATCGAGTCGTGGCGAAGAGTGGCAACCTCTGCACGCCTACAGGAATTCATTGGTGCACGGAGAAGCAGATGCACCAACAACTACAACCAGAAGAGCATACACCCGCAAAAGAAAAGCGAATAAGGATGACGAAGACGATGAAGACGACGACGATGACGATTCCCTCATAAGTTGAGGCGAAAGTAACATGGCAACAGCAGATTTTTTCACGAAATTTGTATTTGAATGGTCAAGTTGCGTTTAACTTCTAGAAAAGGTTTTTTTTTTTTTCTAAGCGAAAGTACAGGTATTGATTGTATTGCTTGTGGAAGATTTCCACCATTTCTTGGATTGTGAAATTTCCTGTCTGACGAGGGTATGTGCTTGTAATATTTGTACTTCAGTGGAATAAATAGCCGTCGATTACCCCAAGTCAAAATTCTGTTGCATTTTTGTCGTCTGGAATTCCTTTTCCTCTACTGCATCATCAGTGTTCTGCATTTTTGTTGTTTCAGGTGATTAATTGAGATTGTTCCGCAATTTGCGAGGAGACCGAATTTAGGATGGACTGGAGTATCCACAACCTATCTATGGGATAAACTATCTACGCACATTTTTCGTCTTCTGGTGAAGAATTATTCATTTCGCGTCATACTGAAGTACTGCACAAATAATTGAGTTAGCGAGAAATTCATCCCAATATTCGTTGTAAAAAATTATGATGCTGCATATTATTCTCAAAATTGATATTTATGTGACTTTGTATCCCTAAATAATTTTGAGTTACTTTTTAAGCCTTCAGAAAAGGATTAGAACCCCCAAAATAGAAAAGGTGTGAGTGTGCTTTCGAGAAGTCCGTCCACCGTGCAAAGGTACACGAGTTTAAAATGAAAAATATTGGCAGTCTGTATGTTACAATGAGCCATAGGACTTGTATATTTTGAACGATTGGAAAAATAAAACTTACGAGGATGTTGACTGAGTACAGTGTGGTCTCGGCTAGCAAATGCAATTCCTCATTGCATGATTTTTGTTAGTTGGATTGGAACAATTCCTAGCCCCTTGGGAATATTTCCACTTGTTGCCCCCAAAACTGTTCGCAATCTAGATTCCTGTTCATATCCTGCTGATGCAGAAACCTTACAAACATGAAGTTGACGTCTATAGTTGTATATACAGTACTGTAGTTATTTAGCAGGGCTGTCCGATTGTTAGCCATACACCTACCACTGTATACTTGCCCAATGAAATTTTAGCCCACCTGCAAAAGATAAGATAAATCTCGGATAGAGCAGAATTGAAAAAGTGGCCCTTCGAAGCTGTAATCATGTTCATGAGTATGTTGAAATTGAAATGAGCAGAAATTAATGATCAACAAGCAATACAAGAGAAGATATTTACAAGCTGAACTTGAAATCGTTCACAATTTGAGTAATATTGATGTGAGCGAATACTGTACGAGCAGCTGCAATCATATACAGTATACTTTTTCATGTTATCCCCATGATCATGGCATGATGAGTTACTAGCTCATGCCGTACAGCAGTATTCGATTAATCCCATTCTATTGAAATTGTGTGGATTGTACGTAATTTTTTTTTATATATCGCAGTAATTAGATTTTCAATTTACTGATGGTTATTATGGCAATACATTATCCCAACAATGAGTGTGCAATTAAGCTGAGAAACTTCAATTACCGACGTTGATTCTGGCACCCTCGCCAAGTCAGCACTTTCCCCTTCTTTTTATTAAAATATGAATTGAAGAGACATTTCACATGTTGACTTTAGACAGAGGGGTTTCGAAGTGTGTTACCGGTTTTTGGTGAGGGGTTCCCCAATTGGCAGCTGAGAGCGTTGCGTTACCCCCGGGAATTTCCCGCCCTTGGATTTTAAAGAGTGGCATGCGGCCGTTGAACGTTGCTGTGGTTCATGGTTCCCATCAGCTGTGCGTTGCCTACCTTTGTTCTTGGCGCGCGCGCGCAATTTCAGTTCGCGAAATGAAAGTGCGGGAGATAGGCTATCGTCCTGCGGTAATGTACGGAAATACTTCCAGTTACTCTCCTGACTCGTGAATAGCACGTAGAAGAACAAGCTGACTTTCACTTGAATTCTTATCGTGACATTTCGTGTGATCCTTTTCTGTCCCTGCTGAATGGTTCTGCTTTCGTGAGAGAGTGGTTGACCATGTTGGATTCAAATTCCCCTTGTCTTTTTGGGATCAGTTCTTCGCTGCGAGTCAGTGGTGTGAATTGATAACTGTAAGCATAATGTTGAAGACTGGAATTTTCAGAATTCAATCACGTGAGCTGGGGAAAATTATTGGCTTTTACTACCTCGAATTCGTTATTGTAGCTCCCCGTAGACTCTTGAAACTTATTTTCTGAAGTCTCGTGCGCATTTTGCTATTTTTTCTAGTAGTTTAACTTGAGCACATGTCCTTGGAACGACCTTGGAAGTCGAATCCGTTGGCCACCTGCGTAGTGTTCGCACGGCACACTTTTGCTCGATTAATTCCATTTCTTTGACCCTCTTCATGTCGTTCGGTAGAACAGTATCTATACACGTTCTCCGTATCGTGTACTCACTCCGTGTGCCCAAGCCGGCTATCTCAGAGTTCTTCAAAATGTTGACGCGTTCCCGGAGTGCCCAGAAAGACCCATCTGTGTCGAAGACATGTGCCAGCCCGGCGGTGCGGGATGGAGCAGGGAGAAAATGTCAATCTGAACGTCGTCATCGTGAAGTCCGAGCAACTCTGCGACGTGCGAGCGATGAGACACGAGACGAAGATCAGACAAAGAAAGGTACATATTTAATTGAACCTCATGTAACGCATTTTCTTCGGTGACAGGAAAAAGCATCCGGTTGAAATACATTGTGGAAAAGATCACCTATGACCGATTTTATCTGGACAGCTTTCTTTGGACACTATTTTGGTCTATTGCTGATACAATTTTATTCACAGCCAAAAGTGACGAGGAGTGCTCGCCTCTGAAATCGGAGATCCGCTCACCATTGCGAGAAACAAACTATGACAAAACCCCAACGAAGACGCCGTTATCCTGCAAGCGAAGTCTGCAATTCAATTCCCAGGGGAAGAAGTTTTCCGCTCGTTTACAATTTCCTGAAAGCCCGCTGAAGAGTCCACCTCGTCATGTGGAACCCACTGTTCTTAAAAGCGTGTCTATGACTCGTGATACGACGTTTCCGGTTTATCAATCAATTGCCAAGTCGTTGAATATATCCAGCACATCGGATTTAGTCGGACGAGAAAAAGAAATACGTGATATTCGGGATTTCCTCATTGAGAAGATGGATTCAAGATCGTCAGGAAGCATGTATGTGTCCGGAGGTCCAGGGACTGGGAAAACCGCTTGTTTAACACTCATTTTGAAAGAAATCGGACTGAGAGACTCAATTTTTGTTAATTGTTTGGCGAAACAGACTCCGTTAGCTCTTCTGAAAGACATAGCCTCTAGCTTGGGCATTAAAACTGGGCTTGCGGATGTCGGAGAACTTCTTCGTGGAATTGAACGCCGCACTTCCGGTCGCAGGGATACTGTTGTGGTTGTTCTCGACGAAATCGACGCATTAGCGTCTAAATTTCAAGAGAATCTGTACGCATTATTCTCCATGCCTGCGAAAAAGGACTCAAGGCTAGTTTTGGTTGGAGTTGCGAATGCTCTGGATCTCACTACTCGCGTACTTCCGCATTTGAAGTGGTTAGCTCCGGAAACTCGTCCAGTGTTGATCCACTTCCGCCCTTATTCTAAGTTTCAACTCGGACAAATCATTTCGAAACGCTTGGGACCCGATGGAGTGAAAGTTCTGCCCCCTCTTGTGGTTCAATATATTGCCGGGAAGGTAGCGAATTTGAACGGAGATTGTCGTCGAGCCCTGGACGTGTGTCGCGCTTGTGTCGATCGTAAATTGGCGGAATCGCGTCAGCAAAAATTCGTGCAAAATGGCGAAAATAAGGAGAATCAAGATGTCGTCGCGGTTAGTTTACCGGAAGTCGCGAAAGTGTTCGGCGACGGGATCGTTACTGGATTAACTGCTAATCGTGCTGGAAAATCCGACGGCGGGTCTCTTCCATTGTTGCAAAAGTTGGCATTACTCGCTCTGTGGCTAGTCATGACACGAGTGAAGAAAGAGCCTTTGGTCTCGTTGGCCAAATTGTATGACGTGTTCCGCAAGGTTTGCGCTCGCACGGGTTCCATGTCGAGTGTCGTGAGCAAAAGTGAGTTCACGTCGCTTTGTTCGCTACTGGAAAGTCGAGGCATGATTGAGTTGAGGGATGGGCTCGGAGCTCCGAAGACACCAGCTTTGTTCAAGTCACCGAGATGCACGTCCATTTTGTTGCGCGCGAGTTTGTTGGACCTGGAGCGAGATTTGAGAGCGGATGAATCTTGCCGGATTTTCGTTCCGTTGCTCGACAATCCGGCCATAGGGTCTTAATATTTTTTTTACAATTTCATAGAACTTCTTTTGTGGGACATTATTACTTTTTCTACCTCGCAAATTTTTTATTTTCTGGAACGACGATTTCTGTGACGAAATATCTTGTGGTTTCTCTCTTTGGGAGTAGTTTTTTTAAACCTCATTTTAGAGATGGGTTGCAATTTGTTAATATGAGTGTGATATGACGGAAATCTCTCATGTTCCTGTATTAGTAATTCTGTGGTTTTTTCTGTTGCCTGAAAATTTACATTTGTTTATCCAAAAATGAGACATGTTCTGTATTATCTTAATTGTATATGAAACACAATCAGTGCGTTTCAATATAATGAATTGATAATTAGAGGTACTCGAAGACCAATGATCAATTACTCTTGATCTACGAAATTCTTCAGCAATTTTTTTGTGCATGACGATAATGATGCTTTCGTTGTTGGCCTTTGAAGATAAGTATGAAGACTTCGAAGAAAAATTCCTTTTAAACCAGACATGCTCTCATCTTGTGTAATTTGTTGATGACTTTCATGCATTGTTGATTGTTTCGATGATTTTAAAGATAAAAGAAATCAGTTACTGAAGATATTTTGATTTTCGTTCCTCTCTGATGAGTTGAATCTGAATTTGTTGACAACTTATGAGGCTTAATATTTCCTTAGTACTGTATAAAAATGTCTTGTTTTCGTTGAAAATTGTACTGATTCGAAGAAGGTTTCGTTTGAATCTTCTCTATTTATTTGACGCAATGAGTTGGTTCACGAATGGTTTAATCCAGTGACTGCATTCAAGTTTAAATGTGATTGAAACGCCGTTGATTCGTTGACGAAGTGTGTAAACGATTGCTGCGGTATTTTTTTTTATGTTGAGAAATAAACGTTGATTTCCGCGTTAAAAGAAAAATTTTCCTTTCACGTTTCTTGCTGCGATCATCGAAAATGATCATGTGCTAATTTCTCCGCAGATGTACTGTTGTTTTTCTTTGTAACATGGAAGAGACTGTGTCACCTATTGCCTTTCAATGGCCGTTCTGGGACTTCGAACGCAAGACGTTGTTCTACCGCATGCGAACATCTTTCGCCGTGTCAGTGGTGGGATGTCTGAGTCGGTTTTGGCTTTGTAAGTACGTCCTCTGTGAGGATTTTGTAATTCCTTTCGATAATTTGGTCGTGGATAATTTGTGTAATTTTAATTGCTGACTTCCACATTTATTTTTCCAGACAATTTGGAAAGGCCGAGAATTTTCAATCGCGAGCGATTGATGACCGAAATTTATTCGAACCATGGCAAACGACCATTGATCACAGTTTGCAACCACATCTCATGCTTTGATGAGCCTACAATGTGGGGTAAACAGTGTTGCGCTTTTCCGGATTTTTCTTTGGAATGAGTCAGTGTTGTCTTCCAGGCATGTTGGACTGGAACATATTTTTCCGACCTGAAATGATGAGATGGAGTCTGACTGCACATGACGTGTGTTTTACTACAAAACCCCATTCTTTGCTGTTCAGCTCAGGGAAATGTATTCCTGTCGTACGGGGTCATGGAGTTTTTCAGGTAGGACTTGTCTGTATTTACTCGAGTACAGTGCCAAGTGCCCTCAAGTAATTTGCTCGCCTGAATTTTTTTTTCAGCCAAAAATTTGGCTAAAATCCTATCCCACAATAAGATGCTCACTCCATTTTTAGTGACTGAAAATGTGCAATATTTCAAAAATAAAACACCTGAATTTGATCATGAATTCGAATTATTTTCAAGATGTAATTGATTTTCGTGTCAAAGAATGATCCAAAATTTCCCATTCGAATCAAGTTTGATGCGCACCTAAACTTCAAAAAATATTGAAGATTTTTATACGTAACTAAAACGCGCATTGTTCTTTTTTCCTTTCAGTTTCGAGAAAAAAGGTGCTTGCGATCAAGTAAATGCAGTTATTGCTGTTGTCTTCGTGCTGACAATGCAAAGACCAAAAGAGTGCATGATTTTTACGAGAGTCATCCAAAAACATCGAGTCTTCGAAAGAGCAACTGTGAAAAACTGAAAATCAATTTCATTGAATAGCAACTACACAAAGAGCATCCGTCAAAGCAGCAAATATCAAATATTTGAATCGGAATTAGTGTTTATATCTTGGTTACCATAGAATCTCGTTACAACGATTTATTAAATACAGTGAAGTCGTTGTTCAAGTCCTTAAAAAAATGGCAATAATTTTATTCAAATCGCTTCAAAATAAATTTTTTTTGTTCTAACGAAGCGGTTCTCCCAGTCCCAATAGCTTCGCGTAGCAAGATTTTACTATATCTTAATGATTTTATTTTTGTTTTCTACCTGCTGCTGTAAACTTTGTTTCTTGATCAATTTCTCCGCTAGACCAACTTTATTTCTCCTCGGCTTGCACTAAAATGTACCGCCTGTCATTCCCTGAATATTGAATATTGTGCTGGTGCTCAATGCATACGTTTACTTTGCAGAAAGCCATGGATTTCACAGTGAGTCGGTTAGCAGCAAACGATTGGGTCCACATTTTCCCGGAAGGAAAAGTGAACCTGGACAAGGAATGGATACGCTTCAAGTGGGGCGTGGGAAGACTAATAGCTGAACCCCCGATTTGTCCCCTGGTTCTCCCCATGTGGCTAGTCAACTTCGACTCAATTCTTCCCAATCTGGATCCACCGGTGAATCGTCCTCGCCTGTTCAAAGATGTTACGATCGTCGTAGGGAGGCCAATTGAATTGAGTTCGTTTAGAGACGAGGTATTGCAGCAAAAGTTGGGGGCTCGAGGCACCAGGAAGTTGCTTACGGATAAGGTTGAGGCTGAAATGAAGATACTGAAGGGATTAGCGGTAGATTTGCACGAGGATAAGGGAGGAGCTTGTGAACGATTCAGGAATTACTTGTATGGAGACTGAACAAAGGTGGTTTTTTACGATGTCTGGGATATAAAGTGATATATATTCTTATTCAGCGATGGGACGTGAAGTGAACAGTGCAATCTATCTTTTACCGTTTCTCGATAGTTCAGCGAGTTTGGTCAAGACTTCCCTCAAATCAATTTTGATCTTTTATTCCGTTGCTGCTGGTTTTCAGAGTTATAAAGATCTGGGTACTTAGATATTATTATTACAAAAGTTGTCGCTGCATGCAAAAGATAAGGCGGCTTTTTGAAATGTTGCCACCATCATGGGTGTTAAAAAAAAAAGTTCTTGGTTTCTTCGGCAATTTACTTTCCTTGAATACCTTTCGATTGACTCACATCAGTTCCAATGCGCTTTTTTATTCCGTAAATTTCATAATCGGAAATGAAAGATTTTCCAGGAAGTTTTACTGGTGAAGATGAAGTTGTACAGTTTAAGGAAATTCTCCGTGTAAACAAGATTCTGATTTAGAACCAGTTGATAAAAGTGTGAATTAACCTAAAGGATTGATGGATTTCTTCTCAAGCCGTTTGATTTTATGAAATTGCAACCCTGATGACGTATTGTTGACTACAGTACAGTAATTGATATTTTAGACTGTGTTTAGACAAAGTGTCTCTTTCGTTTGACTTTCGAAAAATACTGAACAGAGCAATTTCGCATTCACATGATTGTTAGATTGAGGGTATCTCATTCAAAAATAGTTCTTGAGTGAGATCGCGTGAACGTCACCTATCATGGGATTGCAGATCGTCACTTCAGTTGAATTTAACTTCTGGACACACTGCACTTGTGTTTTTTTTAGTCCCTGTGTTTTGAATTTGAATTGAAAACTTGTGGGAGGATCTAGGAAAGGATTCATTCTTAAACCAGAAAATTTTGTCCATTGTTGATCTGGGGGAAAAACGCGGAAACGTGGAACAAACTCCTATATTACCGGGTATATTCGGGGTGGGGCGGAAATTTTTCAGCGGTGGGTCATAAGAGGTATGTCCGAAATTTTGCATTTTCGAGGGAAATCTTATCTATGGCGACGGAAATAACCTGACCAAAGTTATGTTGAGTTTTTTGGAACTGTTGAGGCAGTGGGGTTTTTTGTGGCTCAGTCCTAGTGATTGTGCGCCTGTGAGGCGAGTCCGGTATGCATTTTTGGATTCAAAAACATCATGTTTCGAATTTATTTATTAGTTCAGATTTTTTAATGATCATAAGACCTCGTCGATTTTTTTGTTTTTCCATCTTAAAATTTTAATCAACAGATCACCAGAATGAAGGTTGACGCAGTGAAAATTACGAGAGTGAATCTAGATGATTCCTATCTGATATTGAAAGATCGTCTGGATTCCGCCGACTTCGTAGCAATTCAAGTGGACTTTTCGGAAAACTTTGAGCTACCGAATTATTTTCATCTAGACGTCGATTGTAGACTGAAACATTTGAAACCCGTAGTAGAATCTACGTCAGTTTCCAGAATCGAGATCGGAGTGTTCGACGAAGCTAAGTCATTATTGACAACGTTCACCATTTTCCCGCTACTCGAATGCTACGGCGGAATTGATCCAGTGATCAGTTGGTCTTCTTCAAAGCTTTCAACTGATCATTTCATCGAAGAAACGATTCCCTGCGCGAGAACGGAAGATTTGGCCTCATTTTTGCATTCATTCAAGAATTCTTCGGATCAACTCGGGAATCTCTTCAAGTATGATTCTTGCATTCGGTCGGACTTCCTCGAAGTTTGTTCAGCTGTGAACCAGTGGCTCTTGACTGATGATATCGACCCCGAAACCCCGGAATTCGCTGATTTTACCGCAAAAAATTCGTTTTACTTTTCGACTGAAGTGATTGCTTCTGCTCTTCAAGTCGTGTTTCGTGAGGATTGTGATGTTAGTGTTGTGAGGGAACAATCGATCAGTTTCAGAAGGAGAGATGTGCAGAAGTGGTTGAACATCCTCAAGGCGAGTAGAGGACAAACTGATGGATTACTTCGCAAACCACGAAGTAAAAGTTTTCCAGAATTTAAGGGACTGTGCGAAGTGATGGAATCAAGTTTTTCTGGTTTGCGGAGGATTTTCGACTTGATCTCATCTGTGGAAAAATTGAAAATCTTTGCGTTTGATGCCGAGATGACGTTAAAGTCGTTGCATGAAATTGCTCGGCCGTTGTGTGAACATGAACGTCTGAAAGGATGCTGCAAGGGAAATGCATCATGTGGAAACATTAAGAATTGGTTGAAGAATGTTGTCGACCTAGAAATTGCCCAGTTACAGCTTTACTTCAGCCGTGGAACCGAAGTATCCAGTGCGCTGCAGAGATCAAAAGATTGTGTGGGAATCGCTGAAATAATCTGTGGTTTGAAGGTCGAGTGTGGTTTTGACTGGAGAGAACCACGTTCTATTGGAAAAGCCTTTTGGTGAGTCAAATTCGACCTTGATATACTGTATTTAAGCGATTATGAGACGCCATATATATTTAGACGTATATTACAGTACTGTAATTTCCAAGTGCCACGAAATAAAGAAAACAATATTGCGAACGAATCTGATACCTGGTATCGCTTATTTTACAACATGTCAGAAGCTTGTTCTGGACAGTGTTATCAGTGTTCCCCAACACTTGGTCCGCCGGAAATTTTCACCAGCAAAATTTATGTTGCAGTGAAGTCCGTCTTCTTCGTCTGGAAATTTTGGAATGACAATGGCAGTTGAAATTATGTGATGAAAAAAAAAGGGTTGGCTTTTCTCCAAATAAAACTCCAGACAAATTTTCACTTGGTGAAGTAAGTTATGTTCATTTTTCATTCTGAGAAACCTTTCTTCAAGCCCACCTTTTCAATTTCTTGGAAACATTCCACTATAGCTGCTTCAATGGTTCTCAATTTTTGCAAAAAGCAAACTTTTTTATCTGCCATGAAGTTTTTCAAACGAAGCTTTTTGAGTCTGAAAAAATTTAACGAAACGTCCACAAAAATGTTTTTGTGGAAAATTGCAAGCCCGCAAAAAAAAGATAATGAAAATTTGCAGGTCCGCGGGCCCGAAAAGTTTGGGGAACGCTGGTGTAAAACAAAACGTGCGACACATTTAATTTGACAACGTTGAAAAAATGGTGCGAAAGACGATGAACTGCGCAGAAAAGAGCACTTGCAATTTTTTTAGCGCGAAATTAACGTCATCCGCAATCTAGTTGTCACCTTGCATTCGAAAATAACGCGGAGAACAAATTTCGATTTTTGCTTACATCTCTTTGAAGTGTTCAGTGTTTTCTTTTTAATTTCACCTGTCAAACTGAAACAGTCTTTAGCGATAAGAAGCACCTCAACGCATTAATTATATAATGATCAATCGAATGGATTTAAATTTTTTTCCCTCCGAGAAGCTCAATTATTCTAAGATTAGCCACGAGTTGGAAAAAGTGCGTCTTATTTTCTTGTTATTGCAGTTCTAAAAAGCTAGTGTATTCCTACATTTTTATCATTTCGGTTTTTAGTACGTATCCTGACGCATTCGTCGTTTGTGGTGATGTTCCTGTTGCGGATATGCTCCAAGTTTTTCACAATTTTTCTGATATTGAATCGAATCCGTTCCTTTTATTGAGAGTATCGCCGAATATTATCGTTTTTCCAGGATCTTTGAACAACACTGAGATTATGAGCTCATTTCCGAGTCTGAAATCCGCGAGAAAAATGTGCTGTGAAACTTCTCTCGAAGGCTATTTTCCGTCGGAGGGAATGTTGAGTTTTTCTGTTTTGAAATCGGTTATGTTTTTCGCGGGCGCTTTATTTGTTGCGAAGACGTGTTGGAAAGCTTTCAGATGATCTTTTGAACGAGCGATTAATAGAACGAATCAGTTTCCAAAACCGCTTGAGGATTATTACTACATGATTTGTTTTCATTCAATGGTCTTATCTGATGATACAAACGTTTTGTTCAAGTGTCGAAAATGAGCGATCATCCAGGTTCCTCTGAAAGTCGGGCGTCTGGTGACGCTTCTGCTGTCCAAGGTGAGAAAACACCTTTTCAGATGAAGAATTTAGGTTCTCAGTTGAATCCCAGGAATGATGAAGACTCGAGCAGTTTTGATTTGACGATTCAGATCAGTTTTACGAGCCAAATTGTTCTTTCTCTTGGCAGAATTGGTTGTTATCGGATTGCGGGATCAACTTGGAGAATTTGGATTGCATGCAGTTCAGCCTAAAACCGATTGTCCGCACATGTCATTGGTTCAGGCTGCATTTGAAGGACTGGTTTCAAAAGAAGGCGCAGTTGTTCCTGAAGGTATAAAATGCAGCAATTGTCCCGATTCAGCGAATGCAGTGGACAACAATTGGATCTGTCTCATTTGTTACGAGGTGAAGGATTTTTCGTAGTTTAACATGGGATTATTCCGAAGTCTGTGTCAGTTTCTCTCTGTTATAATTACAGTGGGTTCCCCGAGATGCGGACGTGATTTGGTTTTGGACATGTATGATCACGTTTTCCCATAGACGTCAGTGGGAACATATTAAATTGGTTCTCTTGTACGTGATAAATCAGGAAAGTCACCCAAATATTGAGTGAAAAATTGTTTCTTGCCGTCGACAAGAGGAAATAAGAATTGCATACAGAAAATAACTTGGCAGAAAGAAACCACGCGCAATCTGCCCTTTTGGCATGGAATGGAGCCTGAAAACAAAGAACAAGCAGATGTTTTGCTGTACGTGACCTGATGGGAAAAATCCAGAAAAGAAAGGCACAACATTTACCTGGTTTGAATTATGAATCAAGTATATTCGTGGCAAAATTCATTTTGAAGTTCTGTTGATATACAAATTATAAATACAGTAGCTAAATTTGTTCGAGGGATATCATAATTATTAAACATTTAAAATTTTTATGTATCTTCAGACAATGTCCGGATGTCGGGCAGATTTTTGAGTTTCTAGTGTCCCCTAAGCCAAATAACCGGTATTCTTATGTTGGGGGTGTCCGTATCTCGGGGTCCCACTGCTCGGGTTGTTCGGATGTCTCAAGTTTCTAAAAGAGAGAAGGATCGATGCAAAATAACCCAAAGAAAGTCTTTTTTTTTATCATGGAGTGACTTGAATTGCTCTCGATCTTCTGGCGTAGAAATTTACAAGACTATAACTGGAACCGCAGATCTGACCTAATTTGCGCAACAATCCCTTTATTTTGCGGTTTGAATCGGACATCAAATTTTCCTTTAGATTTTGTGCGGAAGGGACAAGGCTGAACACATGATGATGCATAGTGTGGAAAACGGTCACCTGACATGCATCAGTTTTGACGATTTGTCCATTTGGTGTTACGCCTGTGATTCGTATTTGGATCACTTCAGGCCGGTGAGTGAGATCTGAAATTTTTATGATGAATAATGTACATTTGAAGTCCCTGTCTGAATTCTCTTGGAAACAGGGTATTTATTGAAAAAACTCAGTGACTCGAAGGCTTTCCTCTTCAAAACTCCGTAACTAGAATTTTCTGGGAGCCTTTTTGCTATTATTTTATTGACTCCGGAAAAAGAAAAGTAAAAATTGCAAATTGATTGATTTTGAAAGGAAGTAGAAGACTATATTTGCAAATAAATCTTTGCCTCCCCAGTTCAGCATCCTGTCAAATAATTTAAAAACAATTCAAAACTCAATATCACCTATTAAAATTTCCTGTAATTCTTTCTTTCCCCCCAACAAAAAAGTTAGCTTCCCTAAATCGAAATTTTTGGTTGGTGTTTTAAAATTCGAATTATTTTTTTACAATTTCTGAAGTTCACGTGATACATTATCCTGTACAGGAGTTGTCGCCGATTTATCAGCAGTTCCACATCGCCAAGTTTGGATCTCCGAGTCCCGCGTTTCCGAATCCTAACGCTACGAAAATTTGATTGTGAATGAAGATCTGCTTTTCTTTGACATCCTTTTACGGTTTTTCATTCCTGGAATATTTGATCATCTAGACTCGAATATCTGTGTCTTCGTTTTTTCCTGATACTGTATACATTCCCAACAATTTGATTTTATCGGAACATGCCTTGTCATATGCCACCCCGAAGATTTTAGCATTTTTAAGGAAGTAGAAGACTATATTTGCAAATAAATCTTTGCCTCCCCAGTTCAGCATCCTGTCAAATAATTTAAAAACAATTCAAAACTCAATATCACCTATTAAAATTTCCTGTAATTCTTTCTTTCCCCCCAACAAAAAAGTTAGCTTCCCTAAATCGAAATTTTTGGTTGGTGTTTTAAAATTCGAATTATTTTTTTACAATTTCTGAAGTTCACGTGATACATTATCCTGTACAGGAGTTGTCGCCGATTTATCAGCAGTTCCACATCGCCAAGTTTGGATCTCCGAGTCCCGCGTTTCCGAATCCTAACGCTACGAAAATTTGATTGTGAATGAAGATCTGCTTTTCTTTGACATCCTTTTACGGTTTTTCATTCCTGGAATATTTGATCATCTAGACTCGAATATCTGTGTCTTCGTTTTTTCCTGATACTGTATACATTCCCAACAATTTGATTTTATCGGAACATGCCTTGTCATATGCCACCCCGAAGATTTTAGCATTTTTAAGGAAGTAGAAGACTATATTTGCAAATAAATCTTTGCCTCCCCAGTTCAGCATCCTGTCAAATAATTTAAAAACAATTCAAAACTCAATATCACCTATTAAAATTTCCTGTAATTCTTTCTTTCCCCCCAACAAAAAAGTTAGCTTCCCTAAATCGAAATTTTTGGTTGGTGTTTTAAAATTCGAATTATTTTTTTACAATTTCTGAAGTTCACGTGATACATTATCCTGTACAGGAGTTGTCGCCGATTTATCAGCAGTTCCACATCGCCAAGTTTGGATCTCCGAGTCCCGCGTTTCCGAATCCTAACGCTACGAAAATTTGATTGTGAATGAAGATCTGCTTTTCTTTGACATCCTTTTACGGTTTTTCATTCCTGGAATATTTGATCATCTAGACTCGAATATCTGTGTCTTCGTTTTTTCCTGATACTGTATACATTCCCAACAATTTGATTTTATCGGAACATGCCTTGTCATATGCCACCCCGAAGATTTTAGCATTTTTAAGGAAGTAGAAGACTATATTTGCAAATAAATCTTTGCCTCCCCAGTTCAGCATCCTGTCAAATAATTTAAAAACAATTCAAAACTCAATATCACCTATTAAAATTTCCTGTAATTCTTTCTTTCCCCCCAACAAAAAAGTTAGCTTCCCTAAATCGAAATTTTTGGTTGGTGTTTTAAAATTCGAATTATTTTTTTACAATTTCTGAAGTTCACGTGATACATTATCCTGTACAGGAGTTGTCGCCGATTTATCAGCAGTTCCACATCGCCAAGTTTGGATCTCCGAGTCCCGCGTTTCCGAATCCTAACGCTACGAAAATTTGATTGTGAATGAAGATCTGCTTTTCTTTGACATCCTTTTACGGTTTTTCATTCCTGGAATATTTGATCATCTAGACTCGAATATCTGTGTCTTCGTTTTTTCCTGATACTGTTACGCTACGAAAATTTGATTGTGAATGAAGATCTGCTTTTCTTTGACATCCTTTTACGGTTTTTCATTCCTGGAATATTTGATCATCTAGACTCGAATATCTGTGTCTTCGTTAATTCCTGATACTGTTAATCATTTTAAGCACTTAATCGCGAGTACGAGGTGTGATTTTTTTTTAACAATTATGGATCCCAACCAACAGAAGCAGGATTCAGAGCCACCTTCAAGAGTTTCTAATGGTTTGTCGTAGAGTCCTGAGTTTTACAGTTGATTTTTGTTTTCTTGTAAGTTGCGTTTCCTTAGGAATGAATGATAGTGGTACTCCTGTGCCTGCTGCAAATGTTTCTAACCCTGCAGTCGGCACATCCTCTGTTCCGGACCAGCCTTATTCGTCTCAGACAATGGAAGCACATCATGTTACAGTTGGAGTAAGTTTCATTTTATAGGTGTTGGTCAAGTTATTATTTATAGACGTAGGTTGGTGAACTGCATCCATCTTGGAGTGATAATTTTTCGTTCTTCCTTGAGGACTGTGGAAGAGAGAATTGTTTAAGAGACTGACCCTTGGGATTAATTCATCTATTGATGATTTCAATAATTGAAACTTGTTGTTGAAGCTTGTCCTATCCTGCAAAGGTTCCCTTCTCCAATTAATCATGTTCAGCATACAATACAAGTGGGTTGTCCAAAACAATTCTGAGGAGAAAAAAGCAATTTTTTGTTTTGACACTGTAAAAACTAATGCACAAGAAATATCCTTGGTCCTTGGATTGTGACGAAAATTTGATTTTATCGGAACATGCCTTGTCATATGCCACCCCGAAGATTTTAGCATTTTTACTCATTGAAAGAAAATCATCTACAAATGTCTATATTTTCTCCAGATATGAAAAGCAAAATACTCTATGCAAAAAAAAATTTCAATTTTTTCAAACTCTTATGACGAATTTTTAGAATGCAGTAATGCAACATCAGAGCGAAACGACTTTTTTTTACTACAGTATAAAGTTTCTTGGAGAAATTTTAAAAAATCTGAAAAGTAGCAAGCGCTTGGAACATTTTCACTTCGTCAAGAATTCCTAGGGCGTGTGGCAGAAAAAAATCGTGTCTTGATTTTTTCTAGGATATTTTACTTTTATAGTTGGACCTTTTCAACTCATTTTCTGCTAGTCCTTCTCAAAAGTCCATTTATACAATGTAATGTGAAACTCCTTAACTCAAAGTGTTTTGAAGACAAGCAAGGACGGAAATTCAAATGGGGTTGGAGAAGAAAACAAGCAA